TTGTGTTTCCATAAATGTTCTTAACAATCGTAGATGGTCCCTTGCCTTTTCACATTTTAGTTAGTTAGTTTGTTTGTTTATTTGTTGTTAAACACAAAGCTAGATAATGTGCTACCTGTGCCGTGCCTACCACAGGTATCGAAACCCGGTTTTTAGAGTTATGAGTTGCACATTTTAGTTAGTTAGTTTGTTTGTTTATTTGTTATGAGTTGCACATTTGTTAGAGTTATGAGTTGCACATTTTAGTTCTTCGCTTGGTTGTGTAAAAAGTACCGTCACTTTTATTGGTTTGTGTTGTACCCAATAAATACGTTTTGCATATCTGTTTATACTTAAGCTTTTATTATTATGGGGTTTGAATATTTTTCTTTCTTTCTTGGAATCACTCAAGTTTCAGTCGCGTAGAATGTATGAAGACTAAAGTTTACAGGGGAAATAATTCAACGTTATTGACGACACCTTAAGTTGTCGATACAAGAGCAACATGTTGCACAAGGAATTTTAAAACAAAGTTCAAAATACACGTAACTCGATAAATTAAACAAAATATAAACAGTCACTTAACGACTCGCATCTAGTTGAAATAGGAACCTCTTGTTTTTGTTACATAGTATTTTAGCTACAAGCATGAAATATCTGCACAAAGCTCAGTTTTCTTCGGTATGTAATCCATAATTTTATTTGCTCAGAGATATGCATTTATAAATAGAAATGTGAGATGTATTTCATCATACTCCAAAATTTAGTGAAATAATGGCACAATGAAACTATGCAACTTATCCGTCCACTTTTTTTCCGAAAAACGTGATTGGGCGGGATTTGAAAACGCGATCCTGCTTTCGAAACATACCTACATATACTTAACTAATTAACCTGACATTTTTTCAAGACGATGTATATGCCACTTGTAAAATTTCCAACTAATACAAACAATTTCCAGTTATATATTTATATGTTCTATAATAAATGTTAAGTATAACTGTTTCCAAATAAACGAAAAATTATAATCACTACACTAGTTTTCTTAACAATATGGACTATTTTGACCTGCATGTGTTGTCATAATTTCTTTTAATCAGAATTTAATTGTAGTTTTACTTATGATCCTGTTTGTCAAGTTAAACGCCTGTAAAGTAAAATAATAGTAGCATCTTTGTATAAAAAGTTATTGTTGTTTACATTTGATACCATACTGAACTTGTATGTTTCAAAATCAAGATAACTGTTATTCATACGTGCCATACTGATGACGTAAGACATCTGAGAATTTTATAATATGCAATAGAAAATCCAATGATATCACCAAGCGGTTTATCAAAATATTCGTTATTAATTAACGCAGGTTACCAGTGGTGTTCCTATGGTTACAAGTGCCGAGTTTGATATGTGTTTTATACGTATCGATCAACTAGTTCCTGTCACCAAGATGACTGTAGAGTTGCTGGAATTAGAATGCAAATCGTGTATACAGGTTACTAAGAAATAAAATTATACCTCTTCAACGTCAGCTGCTTTGAAATATATCTGAATAACCTGTGAAAAAAAACTTTTGGTTTTGCTTCAGAATCTGGTAATTATTTACTTACCGTATTTTTCGGTGTATAAGATGCACTTTTTTACCCCAAAATTTGATGTCAAAATCTGCTTGCGTCCTGTACACT